AATTCATCTTGGAGGTGGCAGCAACTGACTCGTATCGCAGCGTCTGGCGTCAGCTGTACTGACCTGAGCTGACCCAGGTGGGATTGAATGTGGGGTGGAGGAGGGGTCGGGATTGGGATGAGTGAAACGCAGGGGGGGAATGGCACAGTCGGGCAACATCTGCCCCCAATCGCCCAGGAGCGTGCGGCTTCGCTGTAGCGAGCCCGTCGGCGATCGCAGCGGCGGCGGGCGCTGCTCAGCCCAGCGCCTCGACAGTGAAGAGCATCACCATGCTTGAGACACTGGGCTTCCCATGCCCGAAGAGACCAGACCGCCTCCACGAACACCGAGACGATGTCCCAGCGCTGGTTTGATGCACTGGGCTTCCCACGCCCGCAGAAAAGGCAACCTCGACGAACACAGGTACGAAGTCCCAGCACATGCTTGAAAGAAACTGGGCTTCCCATGCCCGCTGAGAGAGGAGCACCTCCGCGAACACAGGAACGACGTCCCAGCACATGCTTGAGGCACTGGGCTTCCCATGCCCGCAGAAAACAAGCCACCACCACGAACACAACAAAGAGGTTTCAGCACATGTTTGATGACGCTGGGCTTCCCATGCCCGACAGAGAGGCAACCTCCGCGAACACAGTCATGATGTCCCAGCACGAGTTTGAGACAAAGGGCTGCCCATGCCCGCAGAGAAAAGGCAATCTCCACGACCACGATCACGAGGTCCCAGCACATGTAAGCAAAACGCGGGCGACGAATACCACACCTTGGTTGGTCCGTGGCTACACCCATCGGCGCAGCACCTGGAGGGGGCCCGTGGCCCAAACACCAAGCTGTAGCTACACCTTTGGGCCGACACCACGGACGGGCCGATGGGACACCCAAACCCGCCTGCCTAAGCTGAGAGGGTCCCAGCGGCCGAGCACCAAGCGATCGCAGACGGGGCGCCTGAGACAGTTCTGACTTTCGAGGTACGCCACAGAGTCGGATACCGTCTCGCCAGCCGCCGTCGAGAAACCAAACTCCCTGCTCAAAGCAATACAGAGACAATTGGCCAGCTACAGCAGGCACAATCTCCAAGCCGCTGCAAAGGTAATTGGCTGACAGCATCCCAGCATTTCCGTTCTTGCCGGAAAACTGTACCACAGCACGGTGGCAACAAGGCGCAAACACATGATCTCGTAGAGCGGACCCTCCGCGACCACATATAGTCAAGACGCCGATGCCCACAAAGAAGGTGGAGGCGGTCGGTAAAGCTCCGCCACCCTGACTGGGGGACGCTGGTAGTACTCGTCCTTCCCCTCCCCCCTGCAGGTCGCGGGCCCCGCAGTTCGACCCTGATCTCCCACAGCGCGCCGCGCTTCACTAGCTGCGTTGGGTGAGCTGGAACTGGAACATCACCTTCCGCCAGCTGCGACCGAACTCCGTTCTGAAAATCCACTGAGTGCTTTCTGGCAAAACGCATAATAGTTTGATCTGGCTCTTGCGCACCTCTTTGTTTTGAGCAGCCCCAGGGCACGTCTCCTTGAGCTTCCGGACCCGCTTGGTAACGCCAGTCGCCGTGCGAGCGCACCTGGTACATGCCCCAGCCGAGCTTTCCCATCGCATAGAGTGTCCCAGCTCAGAGAAATACCTTGTAGCTTGCAACTGCAGGTCGTGGGTAACGTCAACCAACTGCACAGGCTTCAATTCGTCATCCCCCAACACCTGGTCAGCAGCATACAACGCCTCCTGCACCGCCTGCTCGCGCATGGGCGCATAAGCGAGGCTCCTCTCCGTCCCAAAGAACACGCCAGTCGGAATCTCCTGAAGCCGAGTAGGCTTGCACTTCTTACGCACTCCTCAGGACAAATTGCACAGGTGAACTCGAGACCGAGCAAAGACCCTGCAAGTTCGGCACCTACACTCACGATGCTGCTCCGAGAACTAAAACACATGCTCCATCACCGAAATCGACGGCTTCATAATGCGCTGCATAGGCCTAACAGGTCGGCCGTCTTCCCACACATGCTGCATCTGAAGCAATCGGCACAAAGCAAGTCGAAGAAATCGCGCGAACATCTTGGCCTGCGCAAAGTCGTGATTGACGTGCCCCACAAACCCGCTGGCATACCCAATGCTTATAGCACCTTCCTTGGCAAATTAGCCAGCCCACATGTTACCATCTACGCGGTCAACATTAGCTGCAGGATAATGCCGAACGCCGCCAGTTCCAGCTCCGAGTGCGAAGGGCACCAGGTGACACGCTGCGGGCCACGCCCAAGCTGCCGAGCTTTACCTTGACCAAGCGTCCATAATATTGCACGCCTTGCCCCATCGCAAGTGTCGCAGCTGTCCCGCCGAACGCCTCCGACTACCAGCCCGGGCAAATCAGCGATGCAATCGTTTGGTGAGTTCCAGGAAATCCGCCGTGAACCGCGCGAACGGGAACCCCCCCCAGGCGCCATTTGAACACGTGCCCATCCGCATCTACGAAGTTCTGGAATGCTGGATGGTATAGCTGGCCCAT